GTTAAATAATACTAACAAATTTATTATTTATGATGTTATTCGATAATATGTCTTCAAAAATATAATAATTATATAAGGACAGTGCGGAGACAGTGCTAGTTAGTTAATTACTACGTTAACTTAAGGATAAAACTTGCCATATAAATTTTGAAGGATACACATAAAATTATTTTATAGCAACATAAAGGTTAATATTATGCAGAGTTAATTGAAGAACTCAAAATTCTCTTCTTAATAAACTAAAATAAAAATTCTTTACAAAGTACAAGGAACCTCAACGGTACTTAATACATTGTTCATAAAAAGCAACGACTACATTTTGAAACAGGAACCCTTTTCACTAATTTCCACAAATGACAAAATTTAAACTTATTCCTTCCTCTGATGGTTCCCATGAGTGGCTGTCAAAGTTTTTAGTACTCATGTTAAGACAACCCAACGCAACACACAATCTTACACTGGTCTATTAAATTAAAAGGATTAAAATAGCAAGCTGAAGTTAAAATATGTCTCTGAATGTCCCATTGGACAAACAAGAAATTTTGAAAAGTCATTTTACTTTATGTCAACAACAGAAAGAACAAAACAAGAACAGTAAAAACAACAACAACAGCACATAGAATAATGTAAAATGGAATAAAATATAAAATTGCTAAGTTTGGGTGGGTGGTCCATGGAACGACGTATGAGTAACAAAATTAAAGTGGTGACATATTTTCTTCTTGTGCCAAAAAAAGTGAGAAGCTGTAAAAATAAGTGAAGAAACAGAAATAGAATAAGTGAAGAAATAAGTGAAAAAAAGAGAAATAAAGAGAACAGAAAAGGTAATAATAAAAATATGAAAAAATTGAATTAAATATTTATTATTTATTGTTAATTATATACAAAAAACAAAAAAAAATACAACACATTAAAGCACTTAACTCAAAGTCGAAACTTTTCACCATTTTTCATTCTTCAAGTTTTTTGACGTATTTATTTCCTCCTTGGCTCGACTCGGTTCAGCTCGGTGCGGCGCGGCGCGGTGCGGCGCGGTGCGGACGTGGTTTGGAGCAAGTGGAAATTATAAAATTTATGCTCTATTTAAAAATGTACAAATTGTGAAGTGAAGTAGCAGAAACACTGACACTGAGCAGAGCACAAAGTACTAAAGCGAAGCCAAGAATCATAACAATAATTTTCACCGAGATGTTAAGCACCACTACTCCAGTCTCATGCTAATCCTTGAGCAGCTCTTTACACGTTGCTACTTGTCTATTGTGTACAAAAGACGAATATGAAGCTGACAAAGATTATGACTACCACCACACCTGTAAAGGCGGGATTTTGATGTTATTTCCCTTTTGGTTGCCACGCAAAGATATGCTCCTATAATGGTTATCCTCCATGTCATTCGTTGTTTGTTGTCCTTGTTGCTGTTGTCGTTGTTGTTGTTGTTGTTGTTGTTGTTGTTGTTGTTGTTGTAATTGACATTGTATGGAACTACGGAATGGTGTGACAAATATTTTCGACGCATTTGTTGTTGGTGTTGCTGCTGTTGTTGTTGTTGTTGTTGTTGTTGTTGTTGTTGTTGTTGTTCAGTTACATTTCGGCTTAAATTGCTTGGCATAAATTTACAGATTGTCATGTACTTATCGGTTAATTAGATTGCAATACAAACTGTTTACGTTAAATTACAGCAACCAACAATTGAATAGCTCAAACGGGTATAAACATTTGATAACAGAAAATAATCGCTTCGTTTGGTGTAATAACGACCGAAATTGAAATAAATAATCAAAATTTATTAGACCAAATATGTCATACTTAATTTATTTGTAATAATAACAAGAGATTATTCATTTTCCGGAACCATCTCTTTCCATCATCCATCATCCATCATTTTTCTGTTTTGTGTTACAAAAGTAAAACAATCAGCTAAGAATTAAAGACAAATAAAGTATATTTTAAGGTTTTTTTTCAATTGATAAGAAAGTTGGTGTTTAGTCGTATAAGTTCCAGTCCTCATTTAAGCATTTAAAAAGATGTCATTTAATTTTATGACGGATAAACTGCATGAAGCAAAACCACGCTTTTTCAAAGTTCAATTATTTTTAAGCTAATATCATTTTTTTTATAGCATAAGTTATCCATTATCCATATGTTTCTCATACCATAACAAAAACATTACTATTAGAAAACTATCACCAACAAAAATAGAAATGCTCTTTAATTAGGTGATTAAACACATGTGGCAACCTTGACATTGCAATCTGAGTAATAAGTTAGTTTCGATCAAAAAACACATAAAGAATAGAGCCCTGATATTATTTATGAAAATTAACAGGCTTACCACTACCGCGTTATCGAAATTCAGAATGGTTGCAGGCTCCTCGGGTAGGTATGTAGATCTAAGGTCAATTATTACAGTCAAGGCGTAGAGAGCGGTTATGAAGAAACCTCGCAGTTAATATAGAGTAAAATTACTCAAATGCACTAACTCAGCTATCCTCAACATAAAACTCGTAACTACATTTCTGCCGCAGATGTCAATTTACGACCGCAGAGTAATAGTTCACTTTGAATCGTATATAGAAGTAGGCAAGCAAGCCACAGAAGCATAATACAATTCTTCGCTAGTCATCTTTTGATAGATGCTGCATTGAAGAGCAGCAATTAGTATTCGCTAATGGCTAATTCGAGTGTGTTCTCATTCATACGATTTTTTATTGCTATTTATTAATATTATTATTTTTTGTCATTCGAATCTTTTAAATCCTTGTAAACAATTCCGATATAATATAAGTATTTCTTAATGGTGGTATATATTTGAACACTAGTAGCAAATTTATTTACGTCACACTAAAAGTCGCTTCAAATATCGCAGAGAATAATAATTTTTATTGTTTTGAAACAAGTTTCCGAACACATCTCAAAAACAATGTTCAATGTTGTCATTTTTTTTTTAAATAAGGAATTCATTTTACAACACTGAAATTTGACGTAAGCTTTCAGTCAGAATATTTTTTCTTTCCTGTGAGTAGTTTTGTTAATTGAAATTACACTTTTTTCTTAATTCACGCAAATTAAATTGAGATTAATTAAAAAATTTAAAATGGATGACTTAACAAGTGTTATCAACAGCGAAAATATCACTGGTAAGACAAATTATATGAAATCAAATGTATTAGAAATTTCTCCACTCACATTTTCAGTACCAAGTAATATCAGGGAATCAATACTTCAGTCAATTATTTTTGTCCAACGTATTTCCAATTCCCTTAGTCAATTCCTATCAGTATATAAACTTGCTGATGGTGGTGCACCAGCAGGTCCTATAACTGTGGCTAATTACCAATTGAAACTTGTACTAACTACTGCTAAGATTGATCTGGAAAAGTTATTGCACTTGCTAACGCAAATGTGTCAGCAACCCGTCTATTATTTGCCACTTCAATGCGCAGGTAATGATATTGATTCATCCATTGATGGAATAACTGTGAGTGATGAGCAGCAGCTTTTGACAAATATTGATACGGGTGATCATGTATTGAATTCATCTGTTAATGATCCAACTGATTGTGATGACCTAGATATTTACCATTCGGTTGATCTAAGTACTTCTTTAGCTGAGAGTACTCAAATGACTGAGAATGATGAAATAGGATTTGAAACACCAGACGGAGTACGTCAGCTATGGACCATT